TTTTCTTTTTTGATCCATCGAATTTGTGTTGTAGTAGCTTGACCTGTTACTGATGTTTGCCGATAAATCTAAGAAAAGAGAACACGTAGAATCGAGTAGTAGACGTTTCTGTTGGAACAGGTGTAGGCGTTTTGTTTGAACAAGACAAAGGTGAGAGAGTTGCCATTGTCGTGTTGAAAAAAGTGAAGCAGAAGAAGTTGCTGTTATTGGGTTTACGCTTCATTCTCCAATCTCACATTTCTTTTCTTGGATTTGTGAATCGACTGGTGATTGGAGTGCTTTACCTTTATTGAATGTGCGAATCAATCCAGAAAGGACACTAGCTACTGTAGTAACGTTTTGTTTTGAAACAGTAGTAGATCGTTTTGTTGAACAACGAATGGTGACCAGAGTTGCTTGCGCTGTTGAAAGAAGAAGAGGAACGTCTTGCTGTTTTGGTTTTACCCAGTTTCCAATTTCTTTCTGGAGAATGGGAAATCGTTTTGTTTTTACATTCCACGGGATTGAAGGTGATTTGAAAAAACAGCAAAGTGGCATTTTGAAGCCCGCCCCAGTGCAGCTCTTATCCACCTCGCCACACATCCCATCAATCTCACTACACCCAAATCTTTCAAGCAAGGACAGCGAGCAACCACAAGACAGCCGGAACCTATCGGGAACCTACTCAAGTGATCTGCAAAAGTAGCTGAAGCCCCTGTTCAGCTCCCACGGTGTTTCCAAGTTTGTGACTTTCCCTTGCGGCGTCTGCGTTTGACAACAGGCCAGGCCGCTGCGAAAGCCCTCGCAAAATTTTTTCACATTTCTTTGCGAAGTGCAATACACGGCTCTTAGCCTTATTCGCGACTCGATCCTAGATAGGTTTGAGTTCGACTCATGACCGAGTCTCTCGTGAATAGTTATTTGAGACAGGGTTCTTAATGAACGCGCTAGTCACACTAGGTTGTCGATGAAAACATCGCTCTAGATATTAGCCAGCGTGGAAGAAAGTAGTTCACGCTATAGATCAGGCTGACAACCTTCCCACGGTTTCAGTTTTAGGATCGTGGAGAGATGTAGGATTACTACAACAAACTACTCTATCAAACTTTATTTAGTCTCCCGGGGAACAGTCTACGATTTTTGATGATGATCTATCTCTTTGATTAGTTTTCAGAGCTTTCTAATCTCTCTCATAACTCTTATTCTCTCAAACTCAACAAACTCGAAAGATCATTAAACTAGCTTTTAGCGTTAGTGGCATTTTGTTAACAAACATAATAGATTTCAGCTACCCTAAACCTATCCCTCACCATGAAGATGGCAAAAGATCATGCGATTCGCAACTTCGAGAAACAGTGCTGACAAACCATTTTCTCTGCGACATGACGAAGAAAAGAAGATCGAGAATAGTGCACCAACACTATGCGACTTCGCAATACATGTTGCAATCGCAGAATGCATAGAAAATTTGACAATGAAGGAACTATCTCATTCAATTTTAATCAATTATGGATGGAGAAACATCTATCTGAGGATTAGGCAAGAATGATGACTCAACGGAACCCTGTTCCGATTTCTCTTACCAAAGTGATGAAGATATCTCACTAACTTGTAAACAAGAATTGTTTGTAACCGATTAACTCTACGGCAAATTATATTATTGCCTAGAAGCTGCCCAAATAGACTCTGATGATATATTTACCATTGTTAACCTCGTCGGGATCACCTCGTATACGTCGAAATAAAGACTCAACCCTCGTTATGTAGATTGAAAAGCGTGGAAAGAGGGAACCAAAACGTTGACACTCGTGATTGGCTGGGATACAGGAGAATCTGGAACCTTGATTGTTCAAACTCATGCTAAGAAATTACGCAAGAAGGATCTTTGGGGCGTCCAAACAATACGGACTGCTTATATGAAAGAATTGAGACCACTCACGAAGTGTAAGGGCAAACTAGTGATTCCTGAGTTACACGATAATAGAATTATCGAGTGGGACTCAGTCACCAAGAGTTTGGGGGCGTATGACATGATATATTGTCGAGTATTCTCTTGACTTAGTTTCAAGTCGATTTTCATACCATCATGTCAGTGGATGGATGGCGTATATATTTCCTATGAAATGATAGCGACATGAAGAGGAAACTTTTTATTTGTCTGCCACTGCTGTCGATGACAGTTGAGATCGTGACAAGAGATTCTTATGCGAAATACTGAAAAGTGATTTAAGGAAGGTTTCCAAGTTCAAGAATCAGTTTAAACGGAAGAGAAAAGTAGGAACAGCTGTCATCCTTACCGACAAGTACTTGTGTTTTATTCATGGTCTTTAGGAAAGTGGAGATGGACTACTATGAAGTAGAACTTCTTCCTTATGCTAAACCCTATCTTGCAAGGGCTTACCCTATTACACGGGTCCACACCAACAATCTTAAGATGTAGGTTGAACGTCTCCGCGACACAGGGGCACTCAAGAAGTAACCGTATACGAACCGTGGGCGGCACCAACTCTTCTCATTCCCAAGAAAGAAGAATCTGCACGATTCATCTCAGATTTCTTGGGGAACTAAAGGATTAAGCGGAAGCTTTATTCTATCCCAAAAATACAGTTCATGCTCTTGAATCTAGATTGATTCAAGTACGATAGTATAGACCTGAACATGGGACAACATCACATCGAGCTGTCACTCAGCTCGAGCAACTCTACGTACTTAGTACTCCCGTGGGAGTATGAGTACAAGAGGTTGCCAATGGGCTATGTAATAGTACCGACATCTTCCAGGAGAAGATTGGAACACTAATGCACGACCTAGAACGGTCGTGCATACATTGATGATCTATTCATCCTAACTAACGGCGAACTAGCAGATCAAGTTGAAAAGTTGGATGAAGTTCTCTGAAGGCTTCGAGAAGCCTGATTTAAGATCAATGCTACAAGTCCTTCTTCGCAAGAAGAGAACTGATACCTAGGTTACTGTATTACTCGAGAAGGGATCAACCTATAACCAAGAAATAGACGCGATCAAAAATATCGCCCCTCCTACCAACAAGAAGGAAATTCGTTGATTCATTGTACTAGTGAACTATTATCGAGACATGTGGTTTAGACGATCATAAGTACAACTGGCTCCACTAGCTTCGTTGACTTCAAACACAACGAAGTAGAAATGGGAAGCGGAAGACGACAAGGCCTTTAGCCGGATGAAGAAGATCATCAGGCAAGAAACCTTGTGTACACCTGACAGTTCATGGATACATTCGTTATCCACATAGATGCGAGTGATACTAAACTAGGTTCAGTAATTTCCCAGAAGGAGAAACCTATCGCGTTCTAAAGCAGAAAGCTCAACCCTGATCAGACACGTTACACAGTTACCGAGAGGAACTTCTCAGTATCGAAGAAACTCTAAAAGAGTTCAGTAATATTCTTCTAGGACAGAATATCGTCGTACATACGGACCACAAGAATCTTACATGTAAGAACTCAAATATATATCCGTTAAATATATCTATATAATGCAGCTAATACTACGTAACTGATAGGCCTCTGATCTAATATCTGGAGAAATACGAGCCTGGAATCCTATATATATCTCTATGGTAAATCTACGACGTCTCTATAAAACATCGTCGCTTATGCATTGTCAAGACTTAACATGTTCAACAATGATGGTTCTTCGGAACAAATGGACGCCAGCGAGATCGCTGAACTAATGGATGCAGACGAAGAGGAATTCACTAGCGAGTTCCCGTTCGTGACGATCTCATGTTGTGTGTGTCAATTGTGAGGATTGGAGGGAATGAATGCGCACCAATTTCGCGCGAAGGCTCACTAGATGGAACATGCAGATCGTGTGTGGCAGCGTGGTCGTGACGTGGGAATTCAGTGGGAAGTGACTTGGAAATCGTGAAATCGCGGCATGGAATTTTATTGCGCTTTGGATTCTGGATCTTGGGAAGAGCTTATCGGCAAAACCCGCGACAACTCATGATGTCCTTGCCCTTTGCACCTGCAATTATAGTGCCTCCTGACAGATACTAGCCTGCTAGAGCTGGTGAATTGGGTCACCATGGAAACGCTACTTCTCCTTGAGAAGATCTTCATATCGGGTCTGGCGGGTACCTTCCTGCTCTGCCCCCATTTCGTCTACTCCACATTTTTCTTTCTGGATGAACAGGGTGTCTTTGCCGTGCACTTTTGCATGAACATTGTGGGTGCTTTTATGCTCGTTCTCGTCGGTATGCTCCATAACTGGGGTCCAACCAAGGAAGATGAATTCCATCAAATTTTCTTCTTCTTTCACACTATCGTTTCTGTGATCTTTTGGAAACTGTACTTTGGAGTCGATGAATGGCAGAAATTCTTTCAGATCGCCTTTTGGTTCTTTCCATTCCATCATGCGGTTATGCTGGTGGCTCATGGTATCACCATCATGTACAAAAGCAAACAAGACGAAAAGGAATCCAAGATATCGTGAAGAAACTGAATTGACTCATGTGCATAGAGGTGCCCGGCTGTTTCTGAGCCACTTCCCCTCTCAATGGAAGGCTGACAAGTATGGGACTATGAAGATCTAAAAGGGTGATTTGATTGTAAACTCCTCATTACAATGGACTAATCATCTCTTGAATCGAATCTGAAAGTTGATGTATGGTTTTATTCTATTCTCTTTCACATGCAAACCGGAAACTATGTTACCGGTCCCTTTCGTCTGAGCCAGAGCCGACACCACGGGGTACTAATCAATCTAGAAGTACAGATCCCTCTCTCCCTCACGGATTCGCTTCATCTTTTTATCAAAGGCGGTGGTCCTTCCGCCGATTGTCGTGGCCTCTCTCTCCACCACGATCTCACCCAAGTCTCGAGTTTCCGAAGAGGCATAGTCCTCCAAGTATTCCTGCAGAGTCAGCAAAGAATTTGGGTGACAGAACTTGTGGATGTTGCCCTTCTTGGCAATGGCCATAAATTCTGCTCCGGTGCGACCCTTTCGATAGCAAGCCGTGCAAAAACTAGGCACAAACCCATCCAGCATGAGCTGCTTCACAACCTCGTCCAATGGCCTCTTATCCAGCAAACTGAACTGGCCAGACTTGGCCTTCGACAACAACTCGGTCTCATGGTCGACATCACCTTTGTGGTAGGATCCTACATCCGTCTTGGATCCCGCAGACATTTGGGAGATGCCCAAGTTGAGGAGTCTTGCTCGCATGGCAGGAGACTCTCGGGTGGAGAGGATCATTCCAGTGTACGGGACGGCACAGCGCAAGACGGCCACCAACTTGGCAAAGTTTTCGTCGTCCACGGGGTGAGGCGGAGACAAAGCGTCAGGTGCTTGATCCGCGGGTCGGATGCGTGGAATTGATATGGTATGAGGACCAGCCTGGTAGGTCTTGTCCAAGTGACGGGCATGCTGGAGCATACCGAGGCATTCGAAGCGGTAATCGTGCAAGCCAAAGAGCGCACCAATGCCAACGTCATCCACTCCCGCAATTTGAGCCCGGTCCATGGTTTGCAACCGATACTCATAGTCTGACTTGGGGCCGCTTGGGTGGAATCGTTTGAAGGCTTCCGGGTGGTACGTCTCTTGAAAGACGGTATACGTGCCAACGTGATCTGTCTCTTTGAGCCTACGGATATCACTGACCGACAGCGTAGGGATCTCAACATTGATCCTTCGAATGCTTCCACAAGGCTCCGTCCTGACAGAAGCAACTGTATGGATGGCACCTAGGAAATCGTCAAAGGAGTATTTTGGATGTTCGCCCGTCAGGAGAAGCAACCGCCTGTGGCCCATTCGTTGTAACGCCTCGGTTTCTTCAATCAACTGCGCTTTTGTCAGCACAGACCTGGGAATGTGTTTGTTCTTGCCTCGGAAGGCACAGTAAGTGCAGGAATTGACACAATAGTTGGACAAATAGAGAGGTGCAAAGAGGACGATGCGATTTCCGTAGATTCGTTCCTTGATTTGGAGCGCTGTTTTGTAGAGAGCATCCATCAATTCTGGCTGTGTCTCTGGTTTAATGTTCAACAGAGTGGCAGCTTCTTCCAGCGTCAAACCTTGCACAAACTCATGCTGCGGATCAGAAGAAGGAATTGGATGCATGCCTTTTGGAGACCTCAGGAGTGCGCGGTCTAATGCATTCTCTAGGATTTCGTGGACCCGGCCAGGGTCCATCGCTGCCGATTTTGTTCCTTCCAATGCTTCTTCAATGAGAGCAGGATTGACTATTTCGGAGGCTGAAGCCACGGGGTGTGGTTCGAGCTCGTGGCTCCATGGCGTGCCCTTCAGTCGAAAGGCACTCGAAGCTCGTATGGCTTGCAATCGCAAGGAAGGGCTAACTCGGGCGCGACTACTCGCCCTGAGCATCATTGTGGAAACATTGGAGAGGGCATTCATCAGGTTTAAATGGTTGGATTTGGATACTGCCAGTAGCTTGTTTGTGGACCTGAAGGAGATCAGCATTGAAAGATTGCAGCCGCGTGGGTTCTGGTTGATTGAAATCCTTCTCAAGCCGAACCTGAAACCACTGGAATCGAAGCTACTGCAAGAGGGTGCTTACAGAACAACGAGAGAGGATGCCATGATGCAATCTGGCCACTACTGTTAGCCTTGGTGCCTATCTATCAAAACAAAACAGAGCTATCTGAACCAGAATCCACACGTTCTGGGTTGACGTCTGTGTTCCGGTCTCGTTAGATCTCCTTCTCGTGGTCTCGTGCATGTGCGAAGATATTTGAAGAGTAAAAACTAACGACTGCACGAATGGGTGTCACGTTTTACGAACGGATCTCACGACCGCTGTCGACTTCACCCAACTGGTCACTTGTTCGCTTTTGCAAAGGCCTGTTTGCTGTATGATTGGGAGTGCTGAGTAGGGTACCAGTAGTGGTACGGTGGCTGCACCCTCCGATTGGCTGCTACAGAGCCTCGATTGCTATCGGATAAGGTTGCGAAAGTAGGATCAGTGAAGAATGACACCCGTTCCGTGTACCTCAATAACGATTGATGAGCTCGTCGTGAGGTTTTCTCTGATTGTCACGTGACGATGGAGTTACCTTCAGCTCTGTTGAGAGAGCTTGGTGGGTTTTGGGATTACTTCGAGACGATAAGGATGACACCAGTTCCGTTCAGTTGGTTGGTCAGATCCAAACCATGCATCGGCATTTTCTCAATTTCACAAGCCATCGATCCCCGATAACATACCGGAACACAACAGAACAATGAATATGCAGCGTTTCGTGTGCAGACGACTTCCTTGCGCCATTCACCGTCTGCATCAGGACGTCCCTAAAAGATTTCACCTGTCTTTCGCTACCCAACGGCCCTCTCCTCTGCTGCCGTCCACAAAGGACGAAGCTCGGATTCCTCGAAGGAACGAGGAGCTCTGTGAACGTTTGTCGCCATTGGCCGATCTCTGGGGCCTCCCGAACCATCTCATGTCACTACAGAATGATGATCCAGAGTACCATCACGGCTTGAGCTTTCTCAGCAAGGACCAGCTCGCTTCGGTCCTTTCCCTTCCCTTTCCTGACGACAAAACAGGGTGGGAGGAGACTGCTTCGATTCGCAACGGATTATACACTGCCGCCAACCTCTTGACGACCCAACAGTTTGGAGACAAGGTGCATTATCGAGGCTTGCTCGAGTTCAGCAACATCTGTCGAAACGATTGCAACTACTGTGGCATTCGCAAGTCTTTCAAAGTACCCAACAGATACAAACTGGATGAAGCAACTATTTTGCAAGTGGCTCACTGGAGTGCCGGTCGCCAGTATGGGAGCATCATGTTACAGTCAGGAGAAGTCGTCACGCCGCAGCGCTTGCGCTTCTTGTGCAAAGTGATTCGTCGAATTGTTAAAGAGACGGGCTTAGGCGTCTCGCTCTCGGTGGGTGAGCTTCCCGACGATTACTACGAGAAGCTGCGACAAGCAGGTGCCAAACGATACTTGCTGAGAATTGAAACGTCCAATCCTACACTCTTTGCACAGTTGCATCCTCCTGAGCAAACGTTTGAAGCTCGATTGGACCGATTGAGAGCACTCGAAAGAGCTGACTTTATGGTAGGGACTGGTATCATGATAGGGTTGCCCGGTCAGACTACGCTGGATTTGGCCGACGATTTGCTGTTCTTTCAAAGAGAGTCGGTCGACATGATTGGAATGGGTCCGTACATTTTGCAACGCGGAACTCCCACTGCCGATGATTGGATCAAGGAACACCCAGACTTGTCAAGAGCACTCGTTGCAAAAGAAATGGGAGAAGCAAGTCCGGGCCAAATCGAGCTACTGGATGTTCAAGCAGCGCGAATGTTTGAGTTGACAACACGCATGGTGGCTTTATCCCGGCTGCTCCTTGGTGATGTGAACATCGCAGCCACCACGGCCTTACAAACTATTCATCCAACCGGAAGAGAAGTTGCACTCATGAGGGGAGCCAACATTCTGATGCCAATCTTGACCCCTACAGATCACCGAGCGCATTATCAACTCTACGAAGGTAAAGTGTGTGTCGAGGAATCAGCAAAGCAGTGTCGTAGCTGCTTGGAACTTCGAGTTGGAGCCGCAGGGAAGCGTGTTGCATACGGTGAACAAGGCGACCCACCACACTTTTTGAGGAAACAGAAGATGCAAGCGGGTTGCTAGACGATCCAACCACCAATGGCAGTTTTCTGGTGGAAATTTTCACATTTTTCGTGAGTCATGATAGAAGCCATCGTCCTGAACAGCATAGCCAACCTATGCAGATAAAGGAAACAATCCCCGATACAAATGTCTTGGAATGGGCAAATGCTCCCCAGGCCAAGTACCTTGAAACATTGAAGAGCTAACCCTTTGATTGCGATGTGACTTCTAGTTGAAAGAGAACAAGTGGCCAGAGAACATGTTTGCACAAACCGGCAAAATTTTGCTCGTAAGGATGAGTAGTGATTATCCATGGGATCTAAAAGACTAACGTATCAAATCTTCAATCAATTTGTAGCAAGCTAAGTTCACATTGGTTCACCAACCACGCATATGATACAGGGGTGGGACTATGTGTTTGAATGCGACCATTGTTCAAAAGACATCCCGATTACTTCAATCAAATTTACAAAGTCCCAATCAGAGTGATCGGGTCCAACAGTAAGGTATTATCCCTCCCCCAAAACACGGTTCACAGGAGGGGTCAAGTTTAAACCAGCACTACATCAACTGCCAATGCCGCAGGTCCAATGTCAGTGTCGTCTTTCTGCTCCTCGCCAGTTCCATAAGCGTCAGGTTGTTGCTGCACCGTCTCTGGAGCTACATTATTTGCATGGTGTGTTGTGTCACTATGTTGTTGTTGCATATTGGTCGCGTGTTCTTCCGGAAGCTCCCCCACATCACCAGGAGGGCGACCTGGGAGAGGCGGAGCTGGCATGGTACCATCCATTTCATGCATTTGCGGTAGCGGGACACCGCAATCCAAGCGAATTGTTGGCATTGCCTTGGCTGCTTCCACCACCGTGTGATCCACCACCAAACTATTCTCTCCATTGTTGTTAGTGGGTCTTACAGTGTTCGTGACCACATCTGCGATCCCAGTTTGAGGCGCTGCCTGGTGCTGTTGATTGGAAAGATCATCCTCTACAGAGGCCATCATAATGTTTGCTGTACTACGTGCTGCTTCTTCCAGCTTGCCCTCCTGCTTTGCCTTTCTGCTTGTTCCATTTTTGTCGCGTGCATGCTGTAGCTTTGTCTTGAAGGCTTGCCTCTCTTCCTCGGTCATGGACTTTCCCGCATCGGACCGTTTCTTGCGTTCTACCTCCCCTCGTCGCTCGCAGACACTGTTTGCCAGAACATGGTGAAATCCCTTTTCACGGCCCCATGCAAATGATAATTCCTTGAAATTTGCGTAGGGAGTCCTGAGCGAGGTCAATTATGAGAGACAATCTTTTAAAATGAGATGATCCAAGCGCACAACTGTCGAGTTTGCTGCTCATGAACGTACGTACCCGCCACTAAGCAACAAAATCTCCACCAAAGCCTATGTTTGGCAGTGAGCAAAGGCAAGCGAGCGATCAGAAACGAAACGCAAACTCAACCCTGTCTTGAATTGAAATGCATGATCAAGCAAGCAGGTCAAACAACTAAAGCTTACCAGTTGTCTCTCCCATGGTTCCAGTTGCACAGACAATCCTTTGACCGGGAGAATCCCTCGTGCTCGCCGCTCTTCATTACGATGCCACCCAGCCTGTTTTCCTTGCAGGATCCCGTCTTTTAGATGTTGAATCAAAGGCATGACCTGGAATCCATCTGGTGCGGCTACATCATGAAACAAACAAAAAGAGTTGAGAGAAAACTCCCCCAAACGGTAGGCAAGTCCATGCAGATAGATTTAGTCCGCAAACAAAAACCAACCTGGAGGATCGAGCATTTCTTTAGTGGAAGAAGGAGACATGAGATGCGCATCAACTTCATCTCCTGATTTGTTCGCCAATGGTCGATAGGAAATACTCATGGGAAGAATGTGATCATATACAGAATCACCCTGCCAAGTAGTAAGTAAAAAAGGCAGATAGATTGTCAGCAAAAAATGAGAAATTGCAGGTTGCGTGGATGTTTGTTTGCGCCTACCTCTGGTTCCGGAGGTGGCGGGGCAGCTTTCTTGGATTCTTCTTCTGGAAAATTGGCTGCTTTCCAATGTCGTTTGCACATTCCTGATGATTATTTACAATATGGATGTTGGCAGGGATGATGAGAAACTGCAAAATCTTGCCCCACACTGCCGTGTTTCTTTCTTTGCTTACGTACCATCGTGTGTTCCCTGTGCTTGCTTCTCGCAGCCTTCTACTTTGCATCGTTTGGCTCGTGCACCGTGCCGTTGGCAATGTCCTTGACTCTTGACGACACGATCGCAGCCAGGGAATCGGCAGAGCTTTCGCTTCTTGTGGGCAGGACCTCTCATTTCGGGAGAGAGTTGTTCGGGGTTGTAAGTTGTTGTGGTGGGTTCTTCTTCTTCTGGTTGCGGTTCGTGATGATCATCGACTGATGGTGGAGGAAGCTGTTCCTGTGTATAGGGCATCTTTTGTTGTTGTATGACATTCGTTACGTGATCATGATGATGAGGAGGATGAGACATGTCATCGACCAGCAAAGTGTTGGTTGGACATGTCGTTGTATCCATAGCCACTGGTGGAGGGGCCCTCGCCACTTCCATGTGACCATCGGCCTCTGTTTCCATGGTGGGGTTGGTGGTGTCATCCATTTGAGCAAACGTTGGCAACCTGAGGCTGACTTCCTCCTCCCTTTGCAAACAGTTGTACCTGGTACCGGTGTCCTCCAAGGACTTTTTCACCTTCGGTGTTTTTGTTGGTCCTCCAGCTAAATATAAAATAAAAATGCAATTCCACATTGATGATGTGTGAAGAGCGAAAGTATGAAAGTGCCACTTTACGGTAGCTAGTTAAACTTCTCAGGGATATCCCTAACGCTAAGATATGTGTGAAAGAAACTTCAGTTTCGCACTGTCGGACCAGGTGACTGTCTAGCATGGGGCTCTTGGAGCTCGTGGCACTAGCTAGCTATTCGAGTACGACTGTATCCAGTTGCTCGACAGTCAAAGTCAGGAGGCAATGCCCGGCATAATTGTCGCGGACAAAGCCTTGCAGGTCAACGGAACGTGCCTCTCGTATTGGTCGGTCGTGACGGGAGAGTACTACAGCGGTACGATTGGTATATGCCCATCCGGGGTTCTCTTCCCCTCTTGACACCTTTTGCTCCTTTGGTCGTACGGTGCCGAGCTATTATTGTACCACAGAGTCAACCCATCAAGCCACAGTTCTGTTGCCTCGTGCCACTCGGCACCAGAACTCCAGCCTGAAGGCTTGTCTCTGTCAATCCCAGTAAATTATATTTAGAATACTCACTTTTTGCTGCAATTGATAAAAAGCTATTATTGTACCGAAGTACATCTAGAGCGATCCTTTTGCTTCGTTTCTCTTTCTCTTCTCTGCCTCTACTCCGCCAACTTTCGAAGTGACATGTGCTGCAGAAAACTTGGCGAATGTTCCAGACGGTATGTAGAAACAGGATCCAAAGCGAAGGAAAAGGAACACGTGATCCAGAGAGATTTCAACCTTCGCAAAGCGCTTCATTGGGTAAAAGGCCGGCACCACAAGCCATCGTGGTCACAAGAGCCCATAGCATATGTAAAGCCATCTTGGAACATTTTATTCAAAACCATGAGATCGTGTTGGTTGCGGCTTCCATTTCGCGCCTTCGTAAGGCCAACAGCAAACGCTACGTTGGGTCGTCTCGCCCCGGCTCCAATAATTTTCAGCAAGTGCACAAGAACGATCGCACGTGTCGCTTTCTCCACTCAAGTTTCCAACTCCACACTTCCACGGACGAACATTTCCTTGTTGGGAGCTACCAATGCGGGAAAGTCGGTCCTCATGAACCTGTTAACGCAGTCCGACGTTTCGCTGGTGCATGATACGGCCGGGACCACTGCCGATCCCAAAAGTTGCCTCATGGAGTTGCACGGCAAGATTGGTCCCATTCGATTGTTTGACACTCCGGGGATCGATGAGGCAGGAGAGCTAGGTGGCATGAAGCGCGAAAAGGCGTTACAGACCATTGGTCAGTGCGATGTGGCTGTCATTGTGGCCGATCCGTTTGCAAAGGATCCGGCTAGCACAGTTAGTTGTGTAGTGGAACTGATACAGCACGTCCAGAAACGACAGGCAATGAACCGCATGGTGTCCGCAGGCACGACCAATAATCCAATGGATCCACCAGTCCCTCTGCTGATCTTCAATCTACGCAAAGACAAGGTGCAAGAGCTTGAGTCCAGAAGCATGTCTATCTCGTTTCTCATTGAAAACCTGGAGAAAGAAATCGAGCAAAAGTTGACCAAGAAAACCACTAACGGGGCCAAAGCCGCCCTCCCTCCGACAATGGCAGTCGATTTGGCGGCCACTGACGAACTGTCTCGTGACAGAGTGATCAATTTCGTGGAAATGTACGCGCGTCCCCGACTTGACTCGGTGTCGCTGTTACCCGATTCGCTGGCCCATGATACCCATGCAGAGGCTGGCAACTCGCCAGCTGTGTTCCTCAACATTCCCATGGACCAGCAAACGCCTTCCATGAGACTCTTGCGACCTCAGGCCATGGTCCAAGAAGCTTTAATTCGCAATTTTGTTTCGACATACTCGTATCGGATGGACCTGGGCTTGGCCAGGTCGGACAATCCGCTCCATGTACAAAAGGAAAAAGATCGCTTCCTCCGAGCGATCGATCCATTTTTGGCATCGGGAGATTTGAAAGCACTCATCACAGACTCTCAAGCCATTGACCTTGTAGCGCCCTGGACGTTGGATGCAAACGGTCACGAATTGGTACCCATCACAACGTTTAGTATCACCATGATCAGATACCTTTCTGGCGGCAGATTGGGTTACTTTGCAGATGGACTGCGAAAGTTAGACCAAATGATGGCCGGTGAAGCACTGCCCGTCAATGGTCAAAAGTGGAACATACTTATATCAGAGGCATGCAACCACACTCGTCTGAATCTGGAAAAGGAATGCGCTGACATCGGGACCGTTCAGCTTCCCAATTATCTGTCCGCGAAGTTGGGCAGTGACAACGTATCATTTGAATTCGCCTTCGGGAAGCATGCCATTTTCGACCCCCTACGATATGATCTTGTGGTCCACTGCGGAGGATGTATGCTGACCCCTCAGCAAATGAATTGTCGTGTTGCAGATCTGGCTCATGCTGGTGTGGCAGCCACAAACTATGGGTTGCTACTCGCCAAGATCCAGTCTCCGTCAACATTGGCACGAGTGCTCCGACCCTGGGGGGTCGAATTTGATAGTCACGAGCGCCCTCAGTTGCCTTCAGCTGCTTAATATTTCGCTTAGTAGATTGATTAGTTTGTACTGTGCGACTAGACACGACCTTGCATGACAGTACCCAAGTATCCGTAGGAATTTGATTCGAGCATGAGTTGGGCTTTTGTAGCACCACGAATGAACGGGTCTAACACACTTCCCTCTTCTAGTTCTGTGGCTCATTCTTCACCGGTGTCGTGGCTACTGAACTAGCAGAACGGTCTTTCAAGTGAAGAGCCGCGCAAATAAAGTTGCATTTGTGTGTGCGGAAGAAGTCTGTGAAACCGTTCTTGCCTCGGTCGGCTCTTCCATATTCCTTGCTTTGGGAATGCAATTGAGGGTCCGTGTAGGTGTACCCGGAACCTTGGATGTCTACGACCATCTCAGATTCATCACTCTCCTCGTATGAAAAGTGGCTGGAAGTGCCCAAAGGAGACAAGAAGTCAAAGTCAAAGTCAAAGTCAAAGTCAGCAGAGCAAGAATACATCAGAAGACAATAATGGACCTGAAAAAACTCACCTGTAGGCCTGGGCAACTTGGCATTGAAGGCTTCCTGCTGTATTGACGAAACCATTGTTGCTGGGAGAAGCAGGAAAAAGCGATACGTGAGCGCCATGCTGCCGTATCATGGCGTCATGGTTGTTGGGACACTTACCTGTTGTACTTTTGGTACTGGCCTCGCAATGCGGTTTCTACTGCCAAGTACCTGTAATTGCCTTTAGATGTCTGATCCCTCAATCGAATCACCTCAGCATGCAAGACTTGTATAGTGGGGACGCCAGCTTTTCGCAGCTCTTTGTCGCGTCTCAATTTGTTGTTGAACTTTGTTGCATAATCCAAGGCTCTAGCTTGGCATTTGGAGGTTTCAATGTGAAACCGAAGCCGTTCATTGTACGCAACGTTGTGACGCGATTCCTTGGCCACCTGAGGTGGTTCTCCAGGCTGCTGCATTCGGTACACGTTTCTCAATCCGCCTTGCGCAAAAGGGTGCAGTGATACCTGGACCTTTCTCCCATTTGGGGTATCCCCCGTTGGAACAATGAATTTATCTTGACTGTCGTTCAAGACCATGCGAGTTGCCTGGTAAGCTATCAAGGGAGATTCGTTCTTCAACACAACTCCCTGTCGTTCCTGGAGCCTACTACCTCCACGCATGGCCGTCACGGAAGAGGAAATGGACTCGAAAGTAGAGCGAATAGATGATCCGGCCGTGGTAGTGTTGGTCAAAGAGAACACTAATCCAGCAGACTTGGCACGATTGTGTCGTTCTCGGATCAGGGTATTCTGTGACTTGACATTCATTTCGACGATCTCATCTTCTTCGTAACTATCATCATCGTCGTCGCAGATGTCACCATTCTTTCTGATGGGAGTCTTTGTCGTGTCATCGTCCATACTGAGGTCTGGTTCGTGCAACGTTCCATCGTATCGGTTTGCTATATAGTTTAGCCACTATGACAGTACCGGTACAAACAAAGTATTTTCACGAAGTTAGAAGAAGGTTGAAGAACGTAGCCATAAGGTAGCAAAGAAACAAGATCAAACACAAAACTGACCTTCTTTCCTTCGTTGAAGAGGCAAATCAAATGAAGCGAGAAGCGACTTTCGTACTTTTGCTTCATTGCTTCAATGTGCCGCGCGGCGGAAGGGTACACCATCCCGTGTCGACGAAACGTGGTCTGCATCGGTTCTTTGATTTTCGGTGGATCCGACTTCAAATCACCTGGTCTTCCATCGCTCAGAAACACGAGCACAACGTTTTGGTTCTCGTCTTGGCTGGCGCCGGCAAACGCAATCTCTTTGGCGCGTCCGAATCCAGCTGCAAATCCTGTTCCGCCATTTGGGGTATGCATCTTGCGGGCGGTTTCGAGTGCTCTGAGTACCTTGCGACCATCTCCGACTAGTGGCATGCGATCCAAGAGCGTTTGAGCCTCGTCATTGAATGTGACCACCGACACCAGCGCTTCCCCAGCCGCATCGGACGAAGAAATCTGTTCTGCGAGAAAGCCTTGCAGACACAAAAAGACGGCATCCCATCTTTTGATTTTGCTTCCATTTGCCTTTTTGACATCCTTCTTTTTCATGGATCCCGAAAAGTCAATGGAGAATATAATGTGTGTTGTGCCATTGGGTGGTTCATTTTCCTTTTCGGAAGCGTCTTGATCATCCACATCCAAGCAAAGATCAATGGGAGGTCCACTCACGGCGGATGGCTTTCTGTCTTCGTCTTCTGCGTCGGCAAACTGACCATTATTTTGGGTTTGTGGGGCTGGCGCACTTTCTTGCTTTACTGTTACTGAAGGACGCGTCTCTTGCTTGACGACAGGAGGAGGTGGAACAAAAACTGGTTGAAAAGGCGGAGCCGTTGGATTTTGCTGTGAACCAAGGGTGCTGTTAGTCGGTTCTTGCTTGACAGGAGGCGGCATTGCATTAGGTTGCTGCTGTGCACGAGCTTGAGCGCTACTGCTGCTGCTGATTGTGGTGGTGGCCCTTCCATTGGCTGACGTCGTCAAAGAGGAATTGGACGTTTGGTTGTGCAGAGCCCCACACATGACACACTTGTCGCCCGGAAATTGATGCGTAAAAGAGCATTTGGAGCACGCCCAACCATTCTTGGGGATCGCTGCTCTCGCGGGTGGCTCAGGTATCGCTCTCGCGGGTGGCTCCCAACGGAACGGACGACCAGGGTGCCGAGGACGCTTGTTCTGTGGATTGTGGCTGCTGTGGCCTTGTTGTGCGTTATTTCTGGCAGTGTCAAAAGCCCGTTTGTTGTCTCTACCTGATGCTGCTGAAGCATTGTGGAAACCAACGGATCGCTGTTGCTGTTGCTGTTGCTGACCATGACCATGACTTGCTTCTCCTTGGTTGTCACTACCTGATACAGGAAAGTTGCGGAAACCAACGGATCGCATTTGGCCATGGCTTGATGATCCTCCATGCGAGGCAGTGGCGACAGGAAATTTGTGGAAACAAGTGACAGAAAAGCCCGACGACGGCGGAGGGGGCTGACCACCATGGCTTGATCCTCCATAGTACGAGCCAGCGGCCACAGGAAAGCTCGACGACCGCGGGGGAGGGGGCATCATCGCGCTACTGTTGGCGGATGAATGATGCGCGTTGTGGTTGTTCCAATTGCCATTGGAAGGACGAGCTGGAGGAGGAGGCATCATCCTCCAATTATTGCCTTGCTGGAAGCCGTTGTTGCTCATCTTGATTCGCTTCTACCTGGTAGCTAGCCCTCTCTCTCAAAAGAATCAACAAAGATGAGTGCAAGTGGAAACAATGAAAGATGGAACTTGAAGAAAGAAGTGACAGTGCGCCAACGGTTTGGACAACGGCAAACTTTACCGTGGCGAAATTTTCATTGTTTCCGAAAAAAGCAAAGTTCTAATAGTAGAAAATACATTTTCACTAAATTTATCTTCTAATAAAGTATAGAAAACGTAAAAAATCCCAAGTGAGTCTCGGCCCTCCAACAGCGCGGAAAACCCGAACCCTACCCAGAAAAAGACTACTCTCTACATGTATGTACTTTCTTTTCTCGCACCTATCTCTTTAATTGTGTTCTTGTGTTGCTTCGAAGGAGAAGACGACTTCGGAACCACCCCCAAAGCTAACAGCACATATGCAAGACATCAACAGTCCCAGTGCTACCCACTACCGATGCCACTGCTTTGCCTACCTTAGTCCCCCACCCCCTCGCTCCTTAACGTATCTATTTAGTATTTATTTATCTACCTGTCTCGGCTCGAACACGACCACCACGACCACCGAGTTAGTTGGTGAACAAAGAAAACAATCGACCCCTTCCCACCGAAAGTCCACTCAACCCACACATCTAGTTCCCTACTTGACTTTTCCACCAATCAGAGAAGGAAGTTGTAATATTGATGATGCTTCTGACAGTACGGTAGGAACATGACCGATTTGGATGCTACGGAAATGGACAACCAAGAGATTGACGGAACCAGTAGTGTGGAGCTGGTGGAAATAAAAGCAGGCATCTCCAAGACAACAGCACCCCCCATAAATCTGCTGCCTCCAATATTTGATGATATAGTACCTCTCCCACCACCACTCCGTCCAACGACAGTACTGGCACCAGCAAGCATCCCTGGGGCTCAGTATGTTTATGGCGGCTTTTCGAGAGATCCAAATTCTTCTGTCATCCATCATGGAGACTCTACCACAAATAATCTACAAATACAGGAAAATGTCATTGAGGAAGCCTTTGTGGAAAACGATGATCAAGAAACTCACCTGCTGGAGAGTGACAGTACTGGTACAGAGCCAAGAATTCCCAATCAGAGATCAAAGAAGTACTGGAGGCAAAGATTACTTCATGTACTTTCGTTAGAAGTCAATGTCTTCCTGTTGGTGGTGATGGTAATACTCCTGATATTTTTGGCAGTGTCTATTAATACTGGAGGACACACCAGCAGCAACTCCAGTCAACCAACTGGCATTGACATGGCTCCAAGCAATCCACAATTGGCAACAATGGCACCAACAACCTTTTTGGAATCACTCAATCTACCAGACTATACCCTATCAAATATGGAACGAGCACAGTCTCCTCAGTCCAAGGCATATCAATGGCTGATCCAAAACGTCAACAATAAAACTTCCACTCTTCAGGATCTTCCTCTTTGGAGACTGACACAAAGGTTTGCTCTGGCCACATTCTACTATTCTACAAGAGGAGACCATTGGGTGAAGAAGAATGGCTGGCTTGAATGGGAGATGAATGAATGTGACTGGGAACAACTCCACATTTTCCAAGAGAGCTCTCCAGAACTGAACTGCAATGATAAGGGAGAAATCACATCATTGGCATTTGAGATGTCCAACAACCTGGAGGGAACAATTCCTTTAGAGATGTTGTTGCTTGGGAACAGACTCGAGTCTTTCTTGTTGTATCGACAACTGGGATTGACAGGGAGTATCCCGACGGAGGTCGGACTGCTAAAAAAACTGACCGAGTTGACATTGAGCATAACAGGCATTTCTGGCACACTTCCAACAGAGCTTGGCAGATGTGAGAGTCTCCAGAGTCTTTATATTGTTCAGACAACACAAATCAATGGGCCTATGCCTTCCCAGATTGGGCTACTCAGCAATCTATTGGAGCTGAGTTTGATGGGTGCAGATCTAACTGGTGGGTCCACACCTTTTGTGCATGTTTGCCTCCAACAGACAAAAATACACACTCACACTTTCCATGATCCTAGGTCCAGTGCCTGGCGAGGTGTACCAATTGCCAGGCCTAAATAGTTTTTCAATACAGGAGTGCCATGGGCTTGACACTGAAACTATCCTTCAAGAAGCAATCAGCAAGGCACTACCACTGCAAACGCTGGTCCTGTCCACCCAAAGTTTGGGGACCAAGATGCCAATTCCATGTAAGAATGCTGGCGTGACGCAAGGGATAGTGCTGGGAACTCATGATGACTGTTGACACTTTCTTTGTGCATTGTGTTTCTATAGCTGAAATTGGCACTCTGAGAGAACTAGGGTACCTAGGTTTGGTTGACTGGAAAATAGATGGCACTGTACCGAAAGAGCTAGGGTGCTTGTCTGAGTTAGTGAGTACTGTTGTCTTGCAATGGCATGTTTAGTTTAGTTTTTTTGTGGCCTTCCAACACTGTCTGCCTTTAGCTTTCTCTGGATTTGCATGACAACTCAATCTCTGGAACTATGCCATTGGCCTTATTTGAGTTGACCAGTGAGTAATCAACTGTCCCTCTGGTTTTCCATTCTTTATCCATTCATGCCTTCATTTTTTTAAAGCATTCCTGCCTTTTCTTCAGATCTGGTCAATCTGAATCTTGGCTTCAACCAGTTGCAGGGCACACTACCACCTGTTCTCTTTTCCAAACTTTCCCACTTGCAGTTCATTTACATCAATGATAACATGTTCTCGGGAACTATTCCTACAGAAGTGGGTCAACTGTCTGGTGCCAGGAAACTAGAATTACAGAACACCAACCTTTCCGGCACCCTCCCTACAGAAATACTCATGCTGGAAAACTTGAACAGCTTGGTTCTCAAAAATACGTCCCTGTCAGGCAGCATCCCTGAAGAACTGTGTAACAAGTTGTACCAGCAGGAAGTCAAATGCTATGGCGATCTATGTAAACGCTTGCCAGTGAAAACCAACACAACAGTCTGTCATGGAACTTCCTTGTGTGGCTGTGATTGTGGCCCTTGCCAGAATTGAACTAGCAGATCAATGCGGTCTACTTGTGGTTCAGGGTTCGTTAGAACGACAATTGGGGTGCACCATAGCCGCTGTGAACTGGTTAGCTGGGCTTGGTAGAGGCTCAGGTGCCAGCAGAGGCCCAACAGAGTGATACCGTACTAGCTGTGATGACTGGGACTAGAACTAGGACTGGAGAAGCAGAGCTCTGGAGGAACTGCTAGAAAGCTATGTCACTGTCTGGGAAAGTTACTTGCTGCAACTGGGGATGGAGCTGGCTGGGAGACAACTGCTATGTAGTAGGGAGCCCTGTCACTGGCATGGGAGTTGCTTGGTAGCTAGCTAGCTAATGCTTACTGGCTGGGGCTGAGCAGGGTCTCAGCAAAGTATCGACACTTACTTGCAACAGGCAAACTGGTAGTTGGGGAATCTTAGCATTGTTATTGAAAGAACAGCCTGGATGAAACATTTGAAAAGGAATGATTGAATTCTGCAGAATTTTAAAATTGTAAAATCCGCAGAATGGGTGCAACAGATCCTCGAGACCAAGACCTCTCATTTGTTTTTCATCAGCTTTCTGTTTTGACTGTTGGAAATGTGGTCCCGACGACGAGGAAAAGGAGAGGAAGCACCACCCTTGGAACCGGAAATGGAATCTGCTGTGGAGCCGCCCTCCTCGGCCAGTGGCCATTCCCAACTCTTCCTGGGGTTGGTGGTCTTTTTGGTGGGCGTCGTGGCCGCTTCGTTGTTTTCCCGCGACAGCAGCATAAGTTTGACGACAGGGACTACTACTAGTAAGACTGTATCCACTCGCACTAAGAAACGAGGCAAATTGGGAGATGGCTGTTTTCATATTTTCTTGGACGTCGGTGGTGACTTGGGATTGCATGCCCGGTTTGTGTTGGAACCCCAATGGTATTCCGATGCCGTGGAGACACACAAGGTAATCGATGGTGCCTTTGGTCCTCCTTCCAAACGCGACAATCGAGACATTTGTGTATTTGCCTTTCCCAATGCCATGGCCCCGGAAGACCAAGCCGTCGATGAAGACATGGTAGAGTTGCATCAGAAGAGGCGCAATCGACGACAACAGTTGCAAGCGGCATATGCCAAATTGGGATGGAAATTTCTTTCCATAGAACCTGACACAAATACAATAACAGCAGCAACCAACACTACCAAGAAGACCAACAAAAAACATTCCGACGCCCCCGGTGTCCAAGTGGCCAAATGGATGCAAACACACCTTCTGAATCGACAACTTCCCACGACGATTCACGGCGACTATCATGGCACTGGCGACACGGGCAATATCGTTGTCAAGTTCGATGTGCCTCATTTAGAACTCTTGGTGGCTCCGGGAACGGCCCTTCGCGAAGCCACTTGTCTCACCATGGATCGATTCTACGGGGAATGGAAAACCTCACGAGAGGCAGTAGCCAAAGGGCACAATCCCGTCACTGGGTTGGGAGCCCTCGCGTCCAAATACGACACTCCCGTAGACGCTCAAACGGCCTTTGGGACGCTGTGGAATCTCAAACAACAACAATTGTCAAGTTGCAAATCGCAGTGGTTGGGAATGTTCAAAGAAGAACAACAACTCGTCGAAGAGGATGTGCCGTTGCCCATGATGGTGGGTGGGTGAGTGAAGTGAGGAGAAGAGATGAGCAAATGGAAAATAAAGAGACGAATGAATTCCATCATCGAGGCCTCGAAGGCTCAATTATCAACTTGCGGACTCCCGATACAGTTACAGTGCCCTGTGGAGCACGAGCTAGAGCCACAGAACGGCCAGCCCTCGCACGCATCGATTTCGACAGCCCAATTGCGCATGTTAGCATGAACCACATCCAACAACACTGCACGACTGCTCTTCCAAGCAAACTCGCAGACGCCAATAGCTATAGTTAGTTGCCAAAAACAAAGCTCATTTCGGAAAGGTGAGATAAAGAGAGAACTCGCGTTCCAAGTGGGAATCCGGTGCACATTGATGGAGTTTATCCTTGTAGGTCAGCGGTTATTGATAGTGGAGATAATCTCCCCGTTTTAACATCGAAACGCAGCACGATTCGGTTATCCGTCCTCTGGTTTCTAGCTGCTTGCTAGCTAGGTAATAGTTGATTGAATTGCCCTGTCTACTAGCTAGTACCGGTACATTGCAGGACACCACAAGGGCGATCAGCATTGGCTTCGGCGAGAAGGAGAGTTCAACGTCGCGACAGAGCAATTGGTAAATCAAGCGACCAGTCAACAAGCAATGGAAGCTAGAATGAAATGCTGTGATACGGCAGGAAGCTTAGGGTTTGGGACCGAACGAGAGTAGCTGGTCCATTTCCGTGGAAAGGAACACGAAGAACACAATGATAGAGAGCACAACACCATACAACTCCCAAAGCCAGCTAGCTATTGCCGGGATGGCATCACGTTCTACACAACCACACGGTCATGATCTGATCGTTGTTATAGTTAGGTACATTGTTTTTTGCTTTCTTTGAGTTTGATCCATCTAATCCATACCATTCTGTTCCTCTTCCAATCCTTCCTCCAATTCTTTTTGTACTGTCTAATCTTGACGTCCCTTGAGTTCCTTGGTGGTGACACCATCTTTGGTAATGATATGGACGACTCCTCCCCAACCAGAAATGGCATCTCTATCAACGGCACTGAGGAGTGATTGTGCCAGTGTCTCAAAGAGTGTATCGGGATCCATATCGGGTTTGTAGAGCGATTCGCACATGCCGTGCAAATTACCAGTACAAGTTCCCGACACGACAAAGTCTTCGGCCGTCATGGTGGCTCCAATCAAGTCCATTCCCGACAAGAACGGTTTGCCCTTGGCATCCAATCCAGCCACAATGGGTTCGATAAAGTAGGGACCAAAGCGTTTTTCGTACAAGAGTTGCGACAACAAATGCGAAAAGACCTGCGGTGTCATTTCTCGTTCTTCCTTCAATTTGTACAAGCCTAATCGGAATTGCAATTCTTGATGCAGCGTTTGAACGTCCGTCGCCAATCCGGCCAAACCCACAAACAACTTGTCGTTCAATTGAAAGACCTTTTGGAAATCCGTCGCCAGAGTCGTCAATTGAACGCCCAAACGACGATCCGCGGCAATTCCGACACAGTCTTTGCCAGCCATGGCCACCATGGCGCCTCCATTATAAGACAAAATTGACATTGCTAGCTACAGTAGTGTGGTATGAAGAGAGAGAGAGATGATGCTCCAACACGCGTCAAAGAGCGGATCGAGATGATGGGGTGGAGACAATGAGGACAGCGAGAAGCAACAGCCAGGATCATCGTCTTGTCGTCCTCTTGCGCTCTGCCGAAGCAGAAGGATGCCAACCGAAAGATCCAGATGGACGAAGGACGGACCTTATTCTTCACCTTAAACTTGACAGTTAAGGACAAAGCTAAAGTGCGGATCGCGAGAAACATGTCAGAAAAGAAAGCTCAACATGCCGGCTCGCATGCAACCACACTCACTTTTTGCCCAGCCATCACCATCACAGTTGCTGGTTCCATTGTTGCCACTCTTCTTTGCTGCGATTGCGAGCCATGCTAACATGTGGGCGCATAAAAATACCAATGCTGAAATTGACAAGTTTGGCTGTCTGATTTCACTAGAGTAGGTAGCTTCTCATTTGCAACTAAAACTGCATATTGCATTGAGTCCGTCGCGGCGATAGGTAAGCAGCACCCTGACACCCTGACTCGTCAGTCATAGAATGATCGATTCCATGGTGGCTGTTTCTTCTTTCATTCATCAACTCGCTGGATGCAGCAGTCACTGGCACGTGACACTTTTTTATAAATGAGATACAAGCTAGCTAGAAATTGTCTCTGGTGGTTACTAGTACTATTATTATTGTATTTGCTGTGGTGACTTCCTTATCTACCCTCCGTTGTTGCCCATAATACAATAAGTAAATAAAACCCGTTTAGATCTAGTTCTTGCTTGGAGTGCGAGTCGTACACCTTTCCGGTAATTTTCCACTCTCCAGAGACCTTGTACAAGACGAAAAAGTCGGTGAAGCAATCGGAAGCCAGCCCAATTGAGAAACTCGACTCGGGCTGCAGCGGCGGGACCCGAAATGTCAATCGAGGCAATCCGACTTTGAATGTCGGGCTGAGGGCCCAAGGAATCCACTGCTCCGATAAATGCTTCCTTACTGGCAACCTCGTATTCACTCAGCCATGACTGACCCAATGACCTTGGCGTCTTTGTGAAAAGCTGCCACAGCTTGCTTGCCATTTCCTGCCTTGGCTCCATCCATGTAGGTTTGAAGAGCGGCTTCCACGGCTTGACGCTCATCGCAAGTGGCTTTCTCGTCTTCTTCCGAGGTAGTAATCTTGGGAGCAGTCATGGCTGGTGATATTTCTTTGTTTGTTTGGAGTTGTGTTGCTTGGTGTTTGTCTGGTATCTCTGTTTCTCGCTCCAAATATATTTGTGAGACTTCTGAGATCACCAGCTGAGCGAATCTAAATATAGGGGGTTTTAGAGTAGGGAAATTATCTACGGAAGCCAGCCGGGGCCAGGCTTAAGCAAAGAACAGTCGAAATTCAGGACTAGGTTCTGTGGGATCAGGGGCAAGAAATTGAGGACCATTACGGGGGGCAAAGGGTTTGGCTTTGCGGGATCCACGGAGACATAAATGGGTAGCTTTCACAAGGGCAATTGAGATACGGGTCTGCATGAAGAACATCATTTGAGAGTAGGAAAATTGAGTTTTGGAGGCAGTAGCAGAAGCAAGGCGTTGTAAGAGAGTCTTGGCTTGAGGGGCAAGCATGCCATCCACTGAAACAACAAAGGGGTGGAAGGAAGCGCGATTGGACTCGCACGCGTCTTTATATTTGGAAATTTTGTCGCGTTCTTGTTGGGTTAAAACTAAATCGGTCTTCCCTGCTAGAGCCTGAGTTTCAAGGGCAAATCCATCTCCAAGAACCTTCGGGTGAAGCTCTTTGTCTTTCCAAGAGCATACGACAAGTGCTAACTCCGAGGGATGCGGCTAGCGTTTGATGTTCTTCGACGATCGTCAAAGATGCTATAGTTTGGCCTGAGCAGTGTTGGCTTTGGATGTGCGTCCGGCCGGTAGAGGAGGAACGGTCTTCCACCAACAAGTGCGAACCTGGAACGAGTGCGAACGGAGGCCGATGTGCAGTACGATGTAGACATGGGATGACACAAAAGAATAAGCTAAAAATTAAAAGGGGATTCTACGTCTACCTCGTTCTAGCGAGTCCCGGGAGGTTCACCTCGTGATGCCAACCACCAGCTGGTTTTGGCTCCTCTCGCACTCCCTCTTGAACCGAACGGGGTAGCAAATTTTGTACCGTAGTCCTCTTTGCTGCACAACGATGTAAAACTCTAAACAAACACAAACATGAAATGTAGTGGTAGTGGCTCCATCTCTTGTATTTTCGTAGATCAACCTCGTCCTCGTTTGATTCTCGCTCTCGTGCTCGTCCTCGTCTTCGTCTGCTCCTCTTCTTCATCATTGTCTCGTCAACTTCAATGAATGGCTGCTAGGGTCGTTCCATTCATAGTCATCTCCGAGGCGGCGTAGCACGTCCCGTCCTCCTGGGAGAGCACCTTGCGCTGTTCTTCAATGGTGAGACCCCAAAGTTGAACTCCCGTGCGCAGGAAATGCTGGAGACAAGTTCGACGTTTGTGACAGAAGGGATACGAGTCTTGTACACAGTGTCTTTCATGAAAGCCACTAGCTTGGAAATGAGCGCGGAGCGACCTCCATTTTGGTCTCGATGTCGAGTCCGCTCAGACCACGTATTCGACCTGGTGGGTTGTAAGAAGTCCGTGAACCAACGCTTCCCGACCATCTGACTGTGAGGTTGCGACTGCTACTTGAGCTGACGGATCGAACTAGAACAACAGGCTTGTCGTTATCGAGCTTCGAGCTGTCATTCCGGCAGGCTTGCTTTCTTTTTGATCGCGACGGCAGTTCCAGCTCTATTGTCTTGGGGACCTTCTTGGAAGTGGCGGCGACACTTCCACGACGCTGGTTTCGGAGAACGAGTCGTCGTTGTTGGATCTGCTGAAGTATCGGCGACTGAAGCAGCTGAATTGGCGACCTGAGTGAACAGACCAGGCTGGCTTGGTTAGCATGGTGAAGCGACTTTGTTGACGGCAGGTCTTGTATCAACGTTCCCCGTCAACCTTGTAGCAGGGTCGGCCTTTTGCAACAGGTGGTAACCGCGGTTGGCTTTAAGGTAGCTTGCTTCTTCCCAAGTCTGCTTTCTTCACGGTAGCCTTCTTGGGAGCTTGGCTTTTCGGAGGAGCTTCAGCATCAACTGGAACTTGCTTGGTAGTACCTCACTAGCACCTTGCGACGTTTCTTCTTGTTGCTTTGGTGTTCTTTCCGGTGCGCTTCATTGGTCGATCTCAAGATGGATTAGATATGCAACAGATAAAAAAATGCAGTGGTGTGTGCAGCTCGTGGTCTAGCAGTCCTTCTATTGTAGGTACGACTTCGATTTTGTGAGCATTCAAATCAAGTTGTTGTTTTTGAGCTCCCTCTGGAGCGAAACCCACTTCGCAAAAACGGTGTTGATTGGCTTGGTTTCTCAGCGTGGTATGTTTCGACGTCCAGATGGAAATCAACTTTTTGCGCTAGCAACGATTTGAATTTGAAAATTACAGAGTGGAGATCGCGCGCGACGTGACATGGTGACGTTGGAGTGCCTTTGTCGTGACGCAATCAATTTGGTAAGTTGGAGTAAGGCGAAAAGAAAAAAAGGAGTTCTCCCTCTTTGGCGAGATCTAGCTTGTGCGCGCAATCCAATGACGTGCGCACCAGTAGAACGACGCCAAAATCTCTTCCGCTAGCTCCAAAGCGACGACAACATGCAGCACGAGCCAGAGGAGAAGAAAAAATCTTACTCCGCGAGCTGAAAAAGCTGTAGCACGCTACCATCCCATTAAACGAAGTCGAAGGTTGGCGGAATGGTAGTTCGTGAGGGCCCTGTTAGATTCTTA